AGGCGCTCTGCCAAAGCTCGGCGGTCCACCCAGGTTTGACCTAGCAGTTGATTCAGTGTCCCCTTTCTCCGGCATCCTGACGGCCGAGGAAATCCCGCTGACTAACAGGCGTTCCGCCAAAGCCCAGCAACCCCCCAGAGTTGGTCTCAGCTTCTGCACGGTCACGCGTGTAGACAGCATTATCTTACGCGCATCGACCAGCCTGCCTTGTCCCCTATTGTCCCTTGTGATTATGTCCCTCGGACTGCTCCTTTAACCTAACCAATCACAAACCACTTGGACTTACTTTACAATCATGTAAAAGAAACTGCCATCCTCACACTTCTCACAACACACATGAACACAGTTAGACACTCTCGAACATGACTGGACGCAGTTAACATGAGCCATGGCTTAGCCAGTGGCCACTGCTGCCTTAGACAGCAACGAAGGGCTTTGTGCACAATAAAGCCCTCATTCTGGTAACTCCTACCTTTTACTTAGAAGCTGGGATTCGATCTGATGATAGTAGTGATCTAAGCAAAACCATGATTTAGACACTACAGGTGTATATTGCGCATAGACGAGCCGGTTAACTTAATTATTCAGCGTGCCACATACATCGCCAGCCATACTGATTTTGTCCTATTATCGAAAGGCGGTGGAGATGTGAGAAAAAATAGTGAGATAGATGAAACGCAGTTTTATCCCACTTTAAACATTTACGAACAAGTCACTAGAGGCGTGTGCGCTTCATTAGGCAGTAGTGAACTTCGCCGTCGACGATAATCAAACTGGAAAATATTGTGCGGAGATTTTGCCTATCACGATGCAGTCTGTCTACAAAGAAATTTATAGATTAGGAGAATCTGTCAGCAAGTCGGTACGGGCAACCAACTCGCCGGGCACCAGACGGGTAGTGTAAAAGAGTTGTTGGGCCTGAGGACAAACAATATCAAATTTTAGGATAGAACCAGATTGCCATATGATCCGTTGCCACTGAGGCTGCGTTATAAAGACCGCCTTCATTTGAAAGAGAAAGGATGGGATCAGGTTATTGGTCTCACCGTGATGCCACGTCGTTCGGATCACACTGATGTCGAAAGGAACAATGAAATGAGAAAACTAGAAGAACTTGCCACCGTTTTATCAACACGCACGGGATTCCCAAGCTGAATAAAGGAGAAACAAGGCCTATATGCAATCAACATTGTCGACGAAGCCCGAACGCAGGTCCCTTCATAAAACTGACCTCGTAAAATATCGACAGGTACTGCTTGGTCAAGGCCAAATCCATGGTACAGGTAAGACCGAGAGCCAGCAGAGCCTCCTTCCGAATGAGAAAGTCTTTGTGTTGGATGCTCGGCAGGAGCTAAAAGGAGAGAAAACGTTAATAAAAGTAGCAAAGGCAAAGTTTGCGAGAGCTCCACATGCAGCAAACGAAATTAAGCACCTGACAGAGCGAGCAAGTTGAGGTTCTTACACAGCGCGTTTATTATTATCATCGATAGGCTCCTCCGTGGAATACTGGAGGTCTTTAGATCAGAGTTAAACACTACGGTTATAAAATGCGTCTGATATTATTAGTAATACCTACGCCATTAAAGAAATTAAATAAAACATTCTCGCCACTCCAGCTAGTGAAACCGTGCTGCCGTTCACGATGCAGGCTATTAGATATGGGATTGGAATGGCGTTGCGCCTGTCAAGCCCAAACGCCTGCTCATTTTCGAATACCCTAACAGCCGACTAAACAGAAGTAAGCACTGCTCCAGTTGCCCCGGAACAGCGTCGATACAAAACTGAAGTTACCGCAATTAACGAGACTTGTTCCTCTACCTGAGGACGATTAAGTGTATGTAGGATAAGGTTACTTCTTTGTTCTACTGCACCGAAGATATCACCGAGAACCTGTCTTCCCTCCCAGAGGACATCAACAATCGCCGCGTCATAATGCCTCTTTCCCTCTAAAAGATATTCCCCTATACCAAAAAACGTAAAATCTGACAATGTCACGAAGGAAAAGTTAGCCAAAAATCTGCAGGTCACATTAAACGTACTTCAATTCGCTGACTCTTACATATTGAACGCCACAGATTAAGAGACCATACCGTTAGATTTGATAATTTTGACTCTGGACGCTTTAATTTTTAAATTAAACATCAACTACGAGAAAACGGTCCGTGTGCACCAATCTAAACCTACTGCAATGTGTATGAC